GTTCATACAACGACGCAGTCATTCATTCATCTTCTTTTTCTGCATGACTTTATATAGAAGAAAGTAACTGAGAACCGTCAACTAATATAAGAACGAAGATATAGCCGTGTGACGATCGGATCGGTCACTCACATGAGTGTACAATCGACGAATACGAGAATAGTAGATAAAGGATATCAAACGCAGTTGATAGTAATAAGAGAATAATATAACACCACAACTCAATGGTAGCAAAATGTAATTTCTATTTAAGTATACCACCCTATGAAGGTAAATGCAACACTTCTGATTTAGTCATAGCTAGGTGTGAAACACACTCCGATAACTCCGTGATTTCTTAAACGCGACTTTGGTTTGATAAAAAAGAAAAATGGACACAAAAGGTTCACTCTTCATTTCCTCATCTTGAATTTATTATTATCCTATCAGACGGTCGACGAATAGTTATGAGATTAGTAGATTATTTATTTAGAAACATGCTTTCTTACATTCTCAACCAAACGTTCTCAAATGTAAAATTTCATAAAAACCTTTGTACCACATTCGAATTTCAAAAAGTTCGAGTTTCACATCTCGTTTTTCTAAAACCAAGTTTCTTCTTGAGTTTCAATTAATGGTATTGCTCACCGATCGAGGTGTAACTGTTAACTCTGAATTTTTGAAATGTTGGTCGTATTTGGTATTACAGTATGTGCCAATATTTAATGAACAAATCTCCTGTTGACTATTAACGAGAAAGTAAAATATATCGTGATGATGTATGCAACTTTTTTTTTTTGAGAATAATTTAACTACGTGTTATTCAAAGATTATCAAATTATGAAGACTGGTAAGAGATTGATAAGATTTAAAATGTTCTGGCAAACTCTTAGAAATGAAATCGAGCATCAAGAATATCTACTTGTAATCAATATTGTTCTAACTTAAGACTGACTTTTAACAATAGAAAGTGTATTTGAAGATCAATCAAAGAAGACTATGTTCAAACAATATGTATTTGTACTAGTAAAATACTAGTTCAATTTATTCTTTGCATTGGAAATCCCATTTTTTTAGGGTTTTTGAAAGAAGAAGAAAATTTTCCTGTAAGATCTTAACCGAAAATAGTCCTTTTTCTAAAATCTATTTTTGTTGTCAACGTCTAATCAAGAAATATCTGCACGCAGAAATATGTACCTTAGTTTATTGACTGAGAATCGCCTTTGAAAAGTCTAAAAGGTTTTTATAAACTTCCTGATTGCATGTGCCAGAAGCGATACCTAAAGAGAAATAACCACATAAGTATGAACATACCAAAGTATTGTAAAACTTCATGGCTGTCTATTCTCAGAAGAGTTTTATATGATTGATAGAGAAGATGGATCATGGTTTCTTTTCTAAAGTTGCGTCGACACTTTTTTTCAAGTTCACTTTTGAATCGTTTATAGTTGATGTTCAATACTTAATATTTGATTGAATGATAATAATCTCATATCAAAGCAATTATCGCTTAAAGTGTGCCAAAAACTGATCATTTGATTAAGAATTCAGTTAATAACAACGATGGAAACGAGCTGAATAATAATAACAAGAATGAAAAGAAAACTCAGTTTTTTGTTGATTGGTTGCATTTATTAGCCAGCATTTTATTTCCAGTAGCCATTGAGATTTTCACGGTTTTGCAACATCAGATATAAATCGAGTAGCAGGGATGTGGCGTTCCCAGGGTGCCTGGGGGAGGGGGGAGAGGGGCGCACCCCACACTTTTGAATTTTCAGTTTTTCCCAGCAAAAATCATCTTTTTTATCAAAAAAAGATTGTAGGATATTAAAAAAAATTTTCGCATCCCCCAGTTAAAAAAAATTCTATATGCAACTCCCCACCTCTCAGAAAATTTCCTTTGCACCCCCGTCCCTCACGTTTTTCTCTTTTCCACATTGCTGTCGAGTAGCATCACATTGGTCTGCAGATTGCCAATGCAAGTCGTGAAAGTGAATTGCTACTCTCCGAACAAAGTCTACAAGAAGATCAGTATCTGGTCGGTGACCAATAAAAGGAGACCATTTATCTTCAATGCGAGACGTTTTTGGCAGATTTACTCTTCAAGTACAGCACGACACGTAGCTCGATTCAAAATGCTTTCTGCACTCCGTCAACTCAATTCATCTCGACGTAAGTTTCTTATTCGAAATCTTTTCAAGATTGCACTTATTCAATTGAACGAGAAGGATAATTTGGACGAAGGCTATGATCGATTTTAAATCGGCCAATATTACTGGAATTACGTTTGGTGTACCATCAGATAATTATATCGAGCATACCACTAGTTTAATTTTTCATAATCTCTCATTCAAAGGTACCTTACTACGTAATTCCTCATTCCGTGGACTGGACCTATCAGGCTCGATTTTTAGCTACGCAAAGCTTGAGCATGTGGATTTCAGTTTCTGGAGTATACATACGGATATTCCCGTTTGGCTTGACAATACAAACCTATTCAATGCTTTGTTAAAGAACATCATTTGGAAATTAACGTCTTTTGATAGTGCAAATCTAACATTAAGAAATTTGAATAGTTTTCGATGTAATCGCTGTTGATTTATGTTTACATATCACCAATTCAAAATTTTTCCATTCGTTAGTGATTCCCGTGAAGTTCGACGAAACAACTCTTGATAACACTAATTCGAATCATTCAAAACTTGAATGTGACTTTCATCGTTTGACGCTGGGCAAAGTGACAATCTTTGCAAATACTTTCTGGGATTCTTCTTTTACATCGACAAAATTCATCAATGTCGATGGTAAATACGTGCAATTCTTAAGATCGAAATTCACATCCGTCAAAATGCAGCGTATCGATCTGACAGGTGCAATCTTTGTTAATTGTACCTTCGATTATGTTGATCTCAGCGAGTATAGTCTCAAAGGTGAGGTACTAAGTAACAGTACATTTTCAAATTCTAATCTAAATAACTGCACAGGTCTTGATGATCAGCAGATCATACAAGCTTGATCCATGCACAACACCATTTTATCCAACGGAACTGTTCACAACAGATAGTAAGATTTCATAAAATTCAAATATCAATGTTGCACTGAACAAGAAAAGTCAATTTCGTATTTTTGCGGTGCCTCTACTTAGAAACATTTGAATTAAACGATAAAAATGACATTAGATTTATTAACGAATTTCTTTGATATTGTTCATGATAAATTACTAATGAATATAACTCGCTTGCTTGACGAACGTGTTTTACCGAAGCTATCTAATAATGGATGTCAATAATGATAGAATGTGCTCAAAATGTAATTACTAGGTCAGTTGATATCAGATATCTCAACAAAAAAAAACAGAAGCAACTAACATGTTTCAAATAACTGTGAAAACTGAGAACATCAATATCAATCAAAGAGTTTTTTCCTAAATCTGTGACTATATAGCAATATTGAAGGAAAAATGTAGTAGGACAAATTTTTGATTATATATGATTTTCCTTTCGATCAGTTGATTGATTTTCCAGTGATTTTAACGTTAGACCAAGTGTATCCATCTGAAACGCAGAAATTTATCAATTATGTCTTATTGCAAGTAACATACATCAATAAGAAACATGAAGATAATAAGAAACGAAAAGTAGAAATAGTCAAAAATCAAATAAATGCTCAGTGATATTGACGATGCTAGCTTTTTTAAGTCACAGCACAGCCTGCAGGAATCTCAAGTCTCAAATAAAAACTGTCTATATGATTTTTGCTTGTTGTACATCAAGATACTTCTGCGAGCGCTACACATGCGAATGAGCTGGATCGAATGTCTGATGAGTAATGTTGACATCTTGCTCCGCATGAATGTTGATACCTGTGCCTTGATGAAAATCATCGATTATTTTTGAGATATTATAACGAGTGGTAACTAGCGATTATGGATTCGAAGGTAAAGATTTTTGGTTAGTTTCAATTTTCTTTTGATAGTTGGAGAGTGCAGTTGAATACTGTTTGATCAAACGATAAATTTCAGCCATATTATTTTTAAGTCATAGCCAATGATGGATAACGCGATAGAAGAAAATCAAGTTTGATTTGAAGAGACCGCCCATAAATCTCTAATGCTTCAACATACTTAACTTGATCTTTGAATACATTACCAATGCTGTGATACATGGTCGTAAGATTGGTTCGATCGAGTTGAGATGTGAGAAGAGTGAAGTTGAGTGCACATTTAAATACTTCAATGAGTTGAGAATCATCTGACGACATATAGATCAACTTGATGTCGAGAGATTGTTTCTAATGGAAAAGTGTATTTTTCAGATCGCCTTTTTTATTATAGGTATATCCAAGTTAATGAGGGCGTTAACTGAGATTTGTACAATCATCATTGGATGTCATTTCGAGTAGTACTTTATGAAACTCTTCAGTTTTATCATAGTCATTTGTTTCGATCATCAATTCGTCTCATATCTTCGATACGAAAAATGCTATGTATGGGAATTATGATTTTTTTTTCAGTTGACTAGAAATTAATTCCATCTAATCAGAGAAAAGGTGTTAAAGAACATGATTAATCGATTTTCATACGGAATAATATAGCTATTTTTTTAATTTTTATCTCGAGTACAGCGAGCAAAATTTAGCGCTATAGATTGATTGGTCGTTATCCACAGAAAATTGTTGAATGAGAGAAGACCACCTTTACTTCTTTTGAGCTTTTCAAAACCAGCACTCATCATTCCTTGTCCTCGATAGACGACTAATTTGCTTTGATCATCAGATTCAAAATGAAATTCTTCAACCCTTTCATAGAAAGGGTATGAATTTGGTTGCTTGCCTTAAAAGCACCCACACCCAGGAAAAACTTTAGGATTCGTCCTCTTTTTGCAGCATTACCATCATCATTTTACTTCATGACAGACAATCAAGCCATTAGAGTTTTGTAATCCTCATACTTCAAACTGTATAGCTGAGTTTTTTTCTTTCGTCAATTTTCTGAAAAGTTTTCTCTTTCTTTTTTATTTTAATTAAGCAAAAACATCAACATTATATCGATTTACAGAAATCTTTTCGAAAACGTCAGATGCTGTTTTCTCATCGCACTGTTTCTCTTCGGCGATAATCTTAGTCAAGCAGATTTTCAACGAAGCAGCCAATTTACTTGCACTTCCACAAGTGTAGAAACATGCACCTTCACGAAATAGCCGGATGATCTCTCGTCTATCTTCCCACACTAAATCTTGAATATATTTTTTACCATCATCTGATTGACGAGAGAAGATAGTTTTGACTTGAACGGCACCCAATTGAGACCACTTTTCAAGTTCATTAAAGTACAGAAAATCTTGCGATGATCGGCAGCCGAAATATAGCACAGTTGGCCCAACTTCTCGTCCGCACGTCAACTGTGCGGCTCGCTCCTGAATAAAACCACGAAAAGGAGCGATTCCAGTTCCAGCAGCAAACATGACCACCGGCGTTGTTGTATCTTTAGGTAAATGAAACCCAGCATCACTTGTTCGAATAGTACAATGAAGGCGATCTTCTTTTTTCAAATTGGCAAGATAATTCGAGGCAATACCACGATAGCGTCCATGTCCGCTCAATGCTAGACTATCAACTATGTCCAGAGTAAGTGTCACTACCTCCGGATTCCATAGTGGTGATGATGAAATGCTATATTGACGAATACGAAGTGATGGAAGCATTCGAAGATATTGTGAAAATGAAAGTTCGCAAGACGGATAAAGTTCGAGAATATCTAACGTGCTAACGTGTTTATCCAAAATTTCCGTTTGATATGTATCATCGCTGATAGTTCTCAGTTGTCTTTGTTCTTTTTCCTCTTTACATAAAACTACAAGTGTTTCCAGTTGTTTTCTACTAATCGGTTGAGTCAATTCAACATAATTGCTCAAAACTTCGAATACACTCACCGGACCATCAGTGGGAAGAAATGTATCAACAAGCGAATGAATTTTGATCTGCGCATCAATTAATAAATTGAATCGTTCCAGAACTCTATACACTAATTGAACTGGATTTCTTGGTAATATCGCAAGATAATCACCGGCACGATATGTTTGTCCCTTCGGTAATTCAATTTCAATGTGTCTTTTCGCAGGTCCAAGTTCGCTGGCTTCTGTCAATACTTTATTTTCTTTGACAAAACCCACCTCAGTTATTTGTACACGATTTCTTGATGTATGAATCAATTCAATCTTAAGTACCTCGTCATTCACGATAGGTTGAATACTTGCGGTGTTTCGTAAAACTTTGAAAAGATTTTCTTTCCAAGCTTCAAATGCTCCAAAAAAGTCACCAGCAGCATCACCAACACCATGTTCAACAATTCTAGTTCCTCCCGCTTTTTCAAGCATGTCATCAATATAGATCGGAATCTTTTGATATGTACTAACCCAATCATGATGACCTGCACCAAAGACAGCATATTGAATCTTAAGTGTTGGCTTCGATGCTAGATACGCTACAAATTGCTTCGCATTGTCACAAGGTTTGCCTTCATAGGATGAAGTAATAATAATCACTGGGCAATCATCTGGTACAGATCCGACAACAGAGTCAAGAGTAGTGACAGTAGCACTGAATCCATGTAGAGGTGCTTCTGATGCTAAGGTACCGGCAAAAGATTCACATGAACCAGCATTACTACCAAAAAGAATTGATATAGGTTGAAGCTTGTTTGTACCAGTAGGAATCACACGATTGAGTGTCGACTCAGTCATTTTGATTTCACTATTTAAGGGAATTTTTACACGTCGACGTGATCTTACTCGTATTTTGAATCCATCGGGTTTGATAGTTAAAGTCTGTTTGATACGGAGATCATAGGATGGATCAACTAAATCAATATAGAAATGTTTCAGAATCATTGCGACGGCTAGAAGGCTTTCTTGCATAGCAAATGGTCGACCAATACAACTACGTTGACCATTTCCAAATGGTTTCCAAGCATTTTCTGGAAGATTTTCAAAACCTCCATTGAGCATTCTTTCAGGAAGAAATTCTTCTGAACGATCCCATACTTTTGGATCTCGATGTAGCTGTGATAAGAGAACGAAGATCATGTCGTCTTTGTATATTTCGTAGCCACCAGGTAGCATCAATTTGTCTTCTTTCGATTGCAAAGACAATAGAGGAGCTGTTGATTGTAATCGAAGTGTTTCCTTCAAAACTGCATCGATATATTTCAGTTTACTCAATGTATCAAGCGTAATTTCATCATATTGGTCAACTTCGAACTGAGCTTTTTGTAAAGCATTTGGGTTTTTGAGAAGATAATAGAAAGCAAAAGAAAGCAATCCAGATGTGGTTTCGTGGCCAGCGATGAGAAAAGTGACCATTTGATAGCGAATATTTTCATCCGATAGTTGATATCCAGTCACACTATCTCTACCATTAATCATTCGATTAAGTAAATCATTGACATCATTTGGATGTTCTCGTCGTTGTTTAACTATTTCATCACACAATCCATGGATATATGCAATATCGTCATGAAATTTTCGATTTGTTCCAATCATCAACATATTTTGTAATGGTAAACGCTGTACACGCTTGCCACTTTCAATGAGAACATTAACCATGGCATCGACAAAGCGATGCATCTTTTTCTGATAAAAGCTATTGAATCGATAATCGAAACTGCACAGAGCAATTGTATCTAACGTTAAGCGAGTAAAATTGTCACAAACATCGATTTCTTCTCCTGCAAAACGTTCCCAACGAAGAATTAATTGGGATACGATGTCCATCATTTCAGGAAACATGTTACGGATTGCTTGAGCTCCAAAAGCCGGAACAAGAATATTGTGAGCTAATTTCCAATTTGGCTCGGATGTATGGGCAGTAAAGAGGCCATCACCAGCTAATGCTCGGATTTCAAGCAGAGCTTCACCAACTTTTTTATCAAATTTGGCTTCATCACAGACAAAATTGACTAACTCTTGGCTACTTACTACCACGATTTTTCTGCCCAATACATTCAATCTGTATATACTGCCATAGAGTTTCTGGAGTCTCTCTAGAGATAGCAAAAAATTGTTTGTATCTAACTCGTTGAGATTTCCTAATAAAAATCTTTCTGGAGGTTGTGGAATTGACATAGTCATGATGCCGAACGTTGTCAAATGATCGAAAGATGTTAGAGAAGGATGTACACTATTACCACGCTTACTTAGTATTACCACTGAAGACACAATCACGAGAAGTAATGATTCTTGTTTGATTGAATAAATGGTAAATGTCAGTTTACAGCACTATTGACTTTGTCTCACTCGACAACCATCCTTTATATGCAAGCGAACCGCTGTCACACGTAACTTTTCATTTTTTGTCTTTCCTTCAGATACGTGGCTCTTTTTAAAAAGTACGCACGAAAAGTATTGTTTTTCCGTTCGTTTTAGAACGAACTCCTGTTTAAAAGTACGCACGAAAAGTATGTGATGACGCGAGCAACATATGTCACCTCCATTTCAAGGATTTTTCGTTTCTTTGTATCTTGCTCGTTCTTGGTGGAAATGAAACAAACATTGATTGAAGACAAACATCTATTGAATAAAATGAGGATTCGTATTCGATCAAAACAAAATAGTTACAAAGCAAACAATACATTATCAACTGTTTGTTAGTATTCATGGCGTCTGTAGCAGACGGATATGGTAGAGAGTATGACTTAGTTCTATCCTACTCTCTTCGAATTTATTCTCATATTTTGGATTACAAGAAAAAAAAATGTTATCTTTTGTAGGTGATATTTTTTTTTATTGAAAAAGAAATGATGAATGAAGCAAATTTGTAAAACGCATACTTTTCATGATCATTTGATAATTAACACCGTACTATAGTCATCTGGCAATCTTACCTAGAGATCAGTTTTAAGGATGCATACTTTATCGTTCAATGGATGTCTATGATGGTCATCAATCGATCCATAAAATAGTTGAAAATTATCTATAAGAGCCATGCACTAATGAAAACTGTAAAACCGAACAAGCCAACATGAAGCATACTATTAAAACAACGAAGTATTTTATAAAAAGGTTCAAAGATGGTACATTTACAGACCTCGATTGTTTTGTGGTTCGATTAACGATAGAAACTTCGGCAAAAGTACACTTTATTCATTAAAATTTCAAAGTATGGTTTGATATAACGATTATAATGAGACTTATCCGTTCATTACTCATCAAAATGACCTTAAAAAATAATTATGGTATTTCTCTTATTGTAATTCATTCCTTTATTGAACATTGATATGTATGAACTAATTGAAAGAATTCGTGTAGTCACATAAGAAACACTGACTAATTGTTCGATTTGTTCAACCGACAATCTCAGCTTCTTATTCATTTCATTTGAAAGAAAAAATTTCCAAAGATCATCAATTACAACAAAAGATTGAGTTTGCTTTTAAAATGTTTTAAAAGACAACGTTTGTACCAAGAAAATGTCTAAAAGTTTGACCACTATGCTTTAGAGATGCATTGGGGCATTAAAAAATGCCACTCTTATTTACAAAATACGTTAAGCCTTTCAGTCTCATACTGGGGAAACAAGCTATACATGTTTTATAATAATTTCTTACAACATAGTCTATAAAAATTTAGTGTCTAAGCTCTTCAAGCGCAGTAATACAGAATGCGCTAGAAACTTCCCTAGTATCTGTAAAAAGGATATATATAGTTGTTCACGAGTTTGTGTCTAAAGTGAGCTAATCCAACAGTTTACTTGAATTAAATCAAGTAGAAAATATTCAAACAGACACCTCAAACAACTCTCATATTTAACTTATGAAATCATATTTGAAGTACGATGCAGGATTTGATATTAAATCAAGTAAATGAAACCTTTCAATGTAATGAAATTTTAAAAAAAGAATGAAGATTTATTCAAAGAGAAAAAGTACATATTATTTTTCAATCAAATTTAATTTTTTTCTGCATCATTCTAACTTTTATTCATGTTGAATAACCGTTTAATTTTTGTTGAATTTGTTCTTTTGATTAATGCGTAATCTCGGAAAGACAGAATGATTAATGATGGAGAACTAGATAATCATCAACAATCATTTTGTTAGTGAGGAGAACAATTTTATGTTACCGTTTTCTAATTAAAAAATTAATTTTATATAAGAAGAATTTCTTCGGTTTAATCTTACTTGATTCTTTTTAAATATTTTCATATATTTCATTGATTAATTGAATGGAATCTAAAACTGAAATTATGATTTGATCTTATTTGACTACTTGAACATTCGCCAAATGTAAAATCCTTCTATTGAGTATGTTCTAATTGTTTACTAGTTTTCTTTGTAAGTGTTTTATTTTCTTTTTAATCTCTAAAAACTATTGAATAAAATATGTGACTTTATGATTGAAGACGTTCACCAAATGACGATAAATAATCCTTGTTTTCTTTATGTGCAATCCTTGATATCACAACATCGGCTGTTACTGATAATGGTAATAAAGAGGAAGACCCAGATATATATATATTGGAATCACAAATTAAATTATCTTAACCCATTTTATCCTGTATATATATGTATGAATGGCATACAGTATTTTAAAAAATAATTATTAATGTTTTCTTTGAATTAATGTTGTCCAAATAACAAAAGAACAACGCTTTCAGCTGAATATTTTCGGCATTAATATACGTAATAGAATGGCATCACTCTAGTAGTCTTATAAAAGTGAAATAGCCTTTTCAATATGTCTGTCACTATTTGCGATCGGTTTCAAAAAAGCAACGAATTTGAAAATCTTTTCGACATATCTATAACAATCTATCGTTCACTTTTCTCATCTTATACTTCAACACACTTGAACAATCATGTTCAAGAGAAAACATGACTAGACTTTGGGAGCTTTTGTTCTCATTATCGATAAATTCTCCTTGATGTATCTCAAAATCAAACACTATTTGTGGGTTTTCGTTTATGTAAAACTTAGTATCCATATGTCCTATATTATCATCTCAAATTGAAAATTCAATAATTTGGTACCTAAATAATGAGCTCACTAAAACCTATATGCGTGAACACTTGATGCAAATTGACATGGCTTATGTATAGTATGATTTGGTTCGCATGCAAATAACAACTACTTAATTTTTTTTAAGTTTCTGAAAAAACATTGAAAGAAACAGAAAGAAAATTGTTGACATAAGATCGTGGCAAGCATCAAACTTTTTTATTTTGCATGATTGCCTCCATAATAAAAGAATTATTTTCTTGAGAACAAGAAAAATAATGCACCATTGTTGTCAGTGAAGCTGTTATTCAAGTGAAAGCAGTGTTTTTAATGTTCTTCATTTTTACTCTCATACGTCGTTCATCCATGTTCATTTTTTTCCCATTCTCTAGTCATAACTCGTACACAGCTGCATGTTTTCTGCCTAATATAAATACATTACACTTTTTTCTCTAGTAAAGCAACACAATGGGTTGTGGCAGCTCTACGCCAATGCACGGTAAATATAACTGTAACCAAATAGTTACATTATTTTTATTCGAAATACAGGATCCAGCATAACATCGACAAGAAAAAGATCGTCGAATGGTCACAATGATGGTGGCACGCAATGCAAAGACAGAGATACGGGTGATACTTATGATGGGGGCGCAGACGTTGTTGCTGATTATGGAGCTGGTGTGGTATATATGCAGGCGGGGTTTTGAGTATAGAGGAAGTGGTGATTATGGTGGAGCGGCGACAACGAAGGTAGTTATAGTGCTGATGGTGTGACTAAGCGAATTTAGGCGAACAGTTCCGAACTGATAAAGACTGATTCTCTAGTTTATGCAGTGATTTTTTTTTCTCAATTTCTTGTTCCGTCTCTGTTTTTGTAATCAAAATAAATCGGCTCATACGTGAATGTGATGAATTCTAACAAAGGAAGTGTATCCAATCCGAGACTTGGCGTCCTAGACCATCTCAAATAAATTTTATTAAGTTGATAATCAGTATTCACTTCTGATTATTATTCGCAAGTTTATTTTACATTTTTTATTTAGTCTTATAGAGTCCAATATGCTGATTACAAACATCAGATTTTTTTAAAATTAGTCGGATAATGAGAAAGTTCTGAAGCATTTTCTGAAATCTCAAGAAACAGGTTTTTGATCAGAAGGTCCACCAAAATTCAACTCAAATTTGTTGAAAACAGATTCATTCAATGCAGTGTTGTTTTCTCTATTAGAATCTATACGAACTGGTGTGAGTATTGGCGTTAGTGAGGGTGGAGGAGTGTATAATCGACAGCTACCCACACTCACACACATCCTTGTTTACACCTTAAAAAGTTTTTACTGTTTTCTCGTCTTTCAATCGGTAGAGAATTAATGGCAGCATGGTAGCTGCCGTTGAAATTCCATCATATTATTCTTTCTGTTCTTACTAAGAAGCATAAAAGTTGCTCTGATTTTATTCAACCAGTAGAGTTGTGTTTTTCTCTTGTAGGTTTTTTTTTATTTACTTAAGAAAGAACTGGTCCATTCTGCACACAAAGATTATTTTCAAAACTAATCTCAACTGTTGCTATCGACTAATTGGATTGTGAAGTCTTCATTATGAAATGTTGGCTTTCATATAAAATTGTAAAAGTGGCTTCGACTTATAATATTGTGCAATCGAAGGTAAAAATAAGTTTTGCTATTTTATAATATTTATTTCATAAGATAAACGTATATTAATCAACACGTGGAAACGCAAAAAAATGAGAATCTTTTGTATTTATGTTGTCCATTTATTCATCCAATCGAGTACTTCTTGATACCAAATCATTGAATTGAGTGGATTGAGTATCCAATGATTTTCTTTGGGAAAATAAAGCATTCGACTTGGAATACTCCGTCTTTGTAAAGCTGTAAATGCACTTATTCCTTGTATATCAGGTACACGATAATCACGACCACCATGAATAATTAACATTGGTTGACTCCAATTTGCAACATAATTGACTGGATTAAATTTTTCAAATGCTTCAAGATTTCCATAAGGAGTGAAGTTACCTGCGTCATGCTCAATGAACCATAATTCTTCTGTTGAATAAGCCAATTCTCTTAGATCAAATACACCAGCATGACAAATGAATGCTTTGAAACGTTGACTCATTTCTGGATGTCCAGCAATCCAGTTTATCATATAACCACCATAACTTCCGCCTAATGCTACAGCTCGATTTTCATCAATATATTTATAACGAGTTAAAGCTTCACTAAGTCCTAATTTGAGATCATCATAAGGTAATGTACCATATTGACCAATAATACTATCAGTGAAATTTTGTCCATATGAATCCGATCCATGAAAATTAATTGCAATAACAACATAGCCTTGTGAAGCAAATGTTTGAAAATTTAAATTATAACTCCATGCATCATACCAACTGTTTTGTGGACCACCATGAATAAGAAAAACTAGTGGTGCTTTTTTAGCTGTACCATTTGTCGGTGGTACATGCCATCCCCAAACTGTTTCATTTTTTGCACCTGTAAAATTAAATGTTTCAACTTGAGTACTCATGTGTACTTTAGATAAGAGATTTGTGTTATGATTAGTAACAGCTCGTAGCAATGCTTTTGATGAATATAAATAGATATTAGTTGGTTCAATAATACTTTCATGTGTAAATACAAATATATCATTGTTCATTGGATGAATATTGATATCAAAGGATGAACCATTATCCATAAGACGAATAGGTGATGAATCATTAGATAAGATATTAGAGAATTTATAAATGACAGTACGTGCTTCTTCACCTAGTTGAAGAAAAAGTGATTGACCATCAAGTGACCATGTTATAGCTTGAATACTATAATCCCAATCATTAAGAAGAGTTATTTTTGAATTAGAACCTGGAAAATTTGGTAAAGCAAATCATCAAAGTTTCTCGTGAAATGTAAAAAATTTACCATTATAAAATTTAATTTTGAATTGATCAGATTCATAACCAGGTACTGATTGTGATCGATAAACTAAAACTTGATCATCAATTGGTGAATATGATGGATCTGTATCAGTTGCTAAATTTTCACATGTAATACACATAGGTTGTAGATTAGGTGTAGTTAAATCTATAGTAAATATATCTAAATTAGTTGACCAAGCTGCTTCACTCTTCTCATCATATCGTCTTGTAAAAGCAAATTTATTTCCACTTGCACTAAATGACCATTGAGTTTTACCATATCCAGAAGGTCTTGTTGGTGAATCACTATCAATACCAAATAGAACATCTTTTGGTTCTGATGTAAAATAAAATATTCCCTTTGCATTTCGTTCAATTGAAACAATCAATGGATGATGACGTGGTCCAAGAATATATTCATCCCAATGACGAATAAATAATTTATCAAATTTATAAGCTAAACTTCCTCTTGTTTTCTCGACTGCTTGACGATCAGCTGTTTGTTGAATAGATAAATTAGCATAAACTTGACAACTAAATGCAAGACGTGTTGCTTGTCGATTAACTAAGAGATTATCAATATCTAATGGATAATCGGTAACTTGAACTGGATCAAGAAAGCTGTGTATAGCTGATACATCATCAGGTATATTGAGTTGAAACAATTGATGAAGACCAGATGAAGCTCGATTCGATAGAAAAAGAATTGTATTATTGTTTATCCAGTAAAACTAAACAAAAACACGAGTGAATTTCATTCATGTAATTAACTTTTTCATTTGTCTATTCTTCTTACTTGATGATCAATGATACCCCAAATAGGTCGTGTTAATTGAATAGTTTTATTTGTTTCTAAATCAACCCAATGAAGGGTTGTTGTAGATCCATTTAAATCAGGCATATGATATTGTTTCCTAAGATATATAACACTTTTTCCATTGTCTGGATGAAATTGAGGAAACCTAAGACGATCCAAACGAAGATTATCCGCTTGAGTGAAATCATGTATTGTTGTCAATTGATTATAATAATCACTATTGGATTGATAATCAGTGACATTCCATGCAAGTGATCGTTGCGAAAAAGGATAGCAATGGTGAAATACAAATATGCCTGATCTGATAAAACTAATAATGAGCACAACAATGATACTTAACGAAATGCATCCCATTATAATACCACACTAAATAGAAATGATTTTCTGTTAATAATACAAGAGAAGAACGAATAGAATAAAAGTAAAAATATATATATAATATTTATTACCTGTTCAAGTTTGAATTTCAATGAATGCGGCCATTTGTCTGAATTATTAGAACATTTCGACAAGAAAAATGGCATGACAGGCAGTATATATTATTTAACTCTTGACTTATCATAAAAAGACAAAATTATAGAAAAAAAAAAAACTTCTGTAATTTATATGTTAAAAGATTACATTCTCTTCTGAAATTTTATTGATTTAAACTCACAATATTATCTTTGCAGTTTAAATTTAGACTCTTTCATGTCTTTAAACACGCGGATTATAAAACGAATGATACAGAGCAAAACGTCTGACTCAAACATTTTTTTTTTCAGTATCTGAATACGATTATTGTGTTCTGTGCGAAGAAAAAAAAAAGAGTAAAAATACGCATTCTCATTGAATAGTTCCATAATAGATAAAGATAAGAATGATGAATGGTGCTCCTCACAACTATATACTGTACGTGAAAATGTGACTATTACTCTTATGTTATCTTATTTTAAATATTATCAAATATATTGTATGAGTTGCCGTTTAGTTAAGTTATAATCAATTTTCATGACGATAGAGGAATATCAAAAAAAATATATCACAAAATAAGTTAAGCTTATTGTCGATCAAATAACTTAATATGCCATCTTTTTTCCATTAATCATAATTTCCTAGTGTAAAGAAATAGTCTTATTGAGATCTGGACACTGCATAAACTGAAACTTTACTATAATAAAGTGATGAAAGAAACTGTGAAATTTAATTCTATTTGAAAAAAAAACAGGCTATCAAGTTATGTTGCTGCATTAAAGAGAAAAGAAAAGTTCACAATAGACAGATGTTATATCGATAAAGAAACGGCTTAAAACATCAAAAAGTCATTGTATTTTTCTATATATAATACAGATGTTTTTGACAATAAAATCAGATAAGCGAAAGTAATCTATCTCTTCTCCTTCATCACCACCTGACAGTCCCTAATGACTATAACAGATCAAAGTAAATATTTCTGAATGTGTCTGTTTAGTCAAAAAAGTAATCGAATATCGTGTAACTATATTTCAAAAGAAGAAATTAAATTGCAAAAGCATTTTTCTGCGTATGTATTTCTATGATGTCGTTAAAAACTTTAGGTGTTATTCTCTGTATTGTTTTCTATTAATGTGGTAACTGTAGGATTTTTATTTTCTGTGTGAACTGTCACGATAGACACACCAAAGAGTCTAACAATGAATCATTTGCATGTTATACGGATGATATGTTGCTACTCTATTTTTCTCTTATTGGCATCGTAATGCTGCGATATTTTGGTTTTTTTTTTGTAAGACGACAAAATACCGAGATAGGCAGTTAATTAGGTGTGTAGACAAGCTGTTCTATTTATCTCGCATGTGTTTTGTTATTGATTTTCTTTTGTCATTGGTTATTTCATCATTGAGATGTATGAGCCGCTCCATGGATCTCCTATGTAAATGAAGAATAGCGAAACGAAAATTGATATGACACATTTCATTATTTTATTGTCCAGTGTCGACAGTATAATTGCTCGAATTAATTTTTTTCACACAATATATTTAATATTATTTTTTTTCGTCATTATTATTTGTCTCTTCTTTCTTTTTTGTGGTACAGACGTTCAGAACTGCGTTTGAGCTCAGTAGGAAAGTGTGGCGATAATGATATTAATCTATCGTTGTCATCTCCGCTTTCTCTTTCCTTTTGTTTTACCACTGTTTATCGTCTTCTATATCTCTCTCTCATATAAGCATGTGCTATGTATAAGATTATCATAATGAGAGATATAAGTTAGCCTGATAAACATCATTAGCGAGGTGGCGCTAATAAATTTCAATAAATAAAAACAACTGGAGTTCGATGGACTAATTCTTAATAATAATGCACAGTTTTCTGTGTGGAAATTCATTCTACTGTTGATAAAGGTACCAGACTCAAAATTAACAAAAAAAAAATTGGAGCGAACAGCGTATACTTCTCTGGTCTTTTGAGAGTTTGCTGTTGTCGAATTTGTACAGATTAAATTTGATAATAATCTCATCTCTCTTTCCTATTTCCCAAGGACAACAACTAAAATCTTATAATACAACAGTCTCGAGTCGATTGAGCCTTGATCAAGCATCATCTAGACAGTTTTATCTTCATCATCACTCGCTTCACGTATTCTTGAAGGGTGATTGATTGAGAAGTACGCTACAAAACGCTGAGGTAAAGACACATTTTAGTTTAATGTCTATATCTTTTATTAAATGACATAGATTCTCTCTTTTCTAACACATTATTTGTCTCACCATTTAGCAGTTATTTGTATTATTTAAAACTCTACGAGAAAGTTATTTTTGTCAATTAGCAAGATTCAGTGATCTTTTGTTATAACCACTCATTGTAAATACCGTTGATATCTAAATAGTGTGCATTGTCCCATAAATATATGTTAACTGTTAGAAATCATAATTATTTCACATATGATGATTTTAAACTGAAACTAAGTAAGTGTATTAGTCTCTTCTGAATAGACCTCTTGCTTGAATTCTAATCTGAAAAGAATCGTTGTAATTTGAACAAGATGTCTTCATATCTGATAGAAGCAAGCTCTGCACTATCTTTGCTAATTGTTGATAAGAACAATATATTCTGATTCAGCACTGGTTAAAATTAAAAATTAAAATGTAAACTCGGGTTGTGGATACGAACAAGAAGGACACCTCACCTACACCCTCAGTATCATTGATGAGATCAACATACCGACACCCACACTCACGAAGTCCGAATGATCCTGATTGTAGTTGGAAAACTTTGTAATGGCAATTTTTCTTTTCTTTTAGATAAAAGCAATAAAGCAAAATAAAAGTGACACAGGTTACCAGAATACTCCTCTTGTGCGAATATATTATTCGTCATATTCTACAGAAGCATTTTTCTTTTTCTGCTGTTTGAAGGTTGTAATAGTACTTATTCTTGATGAAAGCAAATAGATTTTTGGATGTTATCACATAACAAGTAATGTGAAGAGACTGATGAATAGAACAGAAAAGAAAAATTATAAAACAGCCGCACTACTACCAATGAGTAAAAATATTACTTCGCCATTACTTTTGAGTGAATTACGGTTATTTTCATAATTCAAACTCACATGCGTTGCAACAAATTGCAATTCTTTCACTTTACCTATTCTTGGCCGATTCAACGTCGCAACTAATCGCTAGCTATGAAGAGAACAAGGAGAACACTACGCTCCAGTGGTTCAACCCAAAAATTGGTTCTCATACTGATACTATGGTCACCATGCAACGACTCCGTGAGATCAACAACTATGTCGCTTTCCACATCGAGCTGCAATCATGTCTCATATTCATTCAGTCCGGTCAACAAGAAAAGATCTTCCTGATCACCTCCGGCTCTCGTGCCTCTGAACTGCTGCCATTAGTGGCTAACCTTCGTCAAATAGACTCCATATTTATTTACTGCTTCAGAAAATCTAAATATGAACATCTCACTGCGCAATACTCAAAGATCATCGGTATTAATGACAGTCTCGATACCTTACGTGTCTCAATCCGAGATTAAATTGATGTTGTCGATAAACAACTGGAAACATTCAGCTTTTTTCATCAGAAGGCTATCAAGGATCCAGAGGTGCAGAATCTTCCTCATGCGCCCCCGCGCGAGGGGGGAAATTTTTTGAAAAACTCAAACAATAGGGAAATTTTGGAAAAACCCGCTGGCCAAAAAAAAAATACAGTAGGGAAATTTTCCAAAAAACTTTTTTGCGTGGGGGAAATTTTTGGATTTTTGGAAGATTCTGCACCTCTGCAAAGATCTCTCGCAAGAAGCAGCAGAGTTCTTGTGGTTTCAGCTGTTCGATGATGTCATCTTGCGTCTTTCTCGCAGTCAGCAAGCTAAACAACAGATGCTCACTTTGTGTCGCCGATATTATCGAGACATTGGAAAAGAATTGAAACTCATCGATGAATTTGAGCGCGACTATCAACCAGAAGATGCCATTCGATGGTACTCGAAACAGTCTTTCGTCTACCAGCTAGTGAATAAGGCACTAAAAAGTGAAGACATTGATCAGCTGTACATATTTAAATTTTTCATCGATGATCTTTCGAAGAGTCTAGTACATGAACATCAAAAGATGATTCAATCGGGTGAGTAATCTATGGTTGTCTATCGTGGAGCGAAATTATCAAATATTGAACTTGATCAATTCAAAAACAAGCAAGGTCGATTGATCTCGACCAATTGATTTTTGTCGACCAGTCGAAGTCCTTTCCGAGCACTGGGCTTCGTCATGAAATCTACAAAACGAAGTGACGCAGTGCCTGTTCTCTTTAATATCAAGTGTCATGTGCAAGAGCTAGGCAACAGTGTTATCTTCGCCGACATTTCCCATCTGAGTGTATATCCCGGAGAAGAAGAAGTCCTGTTCGATTTGAGTGCAGCTTTTCAAGTTCAAAATGTGAAACATGACGAGAAAGTATGGGTGATCGAAATGACTGCAACAAGTGAAGGACAAGTGATTATCCAAGATTATCTCGCAGCGACATGTCGTGAAACAGAAGAGCGAAGTGTTGGAATCATGTTTGGTAGACTGATGTGTAACATGGGTCAATATGAGAAATCTCAACGATACTTTGAACAGCTGTTAATCAATTCGAAAGATGAAGATTCGGCATGGATCGAATTTAATATAGATCGAGCAGTTCACTTCAAGGGAGAATGGAAGAAAGCACGCAAATACTATGATAACCCATACCAGCGAATGATGAATGCCGATCCATCTTGGGTAAAAGATTCGGCTTATGTACTCAACAATATTGGTGCTGTACTGAAAAATGAAGGAAAATACGATGAATCTCTTGATTTCTATCGACAAGTACTGACTATACGAGAGAAATATTACTCTACTG